CAAATTTAATATGAGAAATCCTTTATAAAAGAGAGGTGATCACTAAACCATGAGAACATTTTCATACATATCTAACTTTTAAGTGATGAAAGTTAAGATAATAATATTTTTATTTCAGTACTCATAGTTATTCTTATTCTAAGGATGATTAAAAGGCTTGATTTATTGATTATTAAAGGGGGATAGCAACAATATATTCATTATCAACGGGATTGGGATTGAAAGCAATTTTTGCTAGGTTGTGAACTAATTTCAACTCACCCTATTTATTAAAGTTTGAATTGTATGGTGAAATTAAAAGCAACTTCAGAAGCAGACAATTACGTCTCATTTAAACGGGTGTGGTTTACATCCACCTATTAAATTGTCACAGTTACATAAATTATATATTTAATTTAATTAATATTTGTAATTTTTTAAATTATTAATTATGATGTTTAAAAATATAATTTATTAAATAATAAATATAAATTATTCAATCAATTATTATTTGTTCTTAATAGTAAAATTAAATAAAATGAATGTTTTTAAACTATATCATATTACCTTAATAATTTATAATTTAATAGATGGTCACAACCACATCTCTTAAAAAAAGACAACAAAAGAGAAAAATGAGGCAGTACATGCAGTATCTTGATGATAAAATAAATGTAAACAACAATTTTTAGAGTGATGGAGGGTTTTTATTATTATTATTTTTTTGTCTGCAAATAAAGAATTTTATTCAAAGTGTTTTAAGGGATACCTAACCCATTTACATTAGAATCAACCCATTTACATATGAGTCAACACATAGCTCCATATCACAATTAATGCATTACTTTTGAATGTCCCCACCATATATAGGATGCAGGTCATACCCTCCATGAATTTACAAAACCAAACAAGAGAAGGTTTAGGTGATGAAAGTTGGGACATAGGTCTATTTGTTTCTGTACTTGTATATTTTTTCTAAGTATGATCAAGAGAACAAATTGATAAGTTTATCCATTATTGTAGATTTTTGTTGGATTCTTTACCAATTGCAAATCGCCTTACTAGAAATAGGATATTGGATTATCAAGATTATAAATGTGTTTATAAAGGCAAATAATTATTTATTCTACATAAAAAGATGGCAAAAGAGAACATGGGACTACAAATGCTATATCTTGGGTATAAAAAAAATGTGTACAACAATTTTTGGGTGAAGAAAGTTTGGATATTGACATATGTAACTATGAAAAATTACGAAATATATTCTAATAAAAAATGAAACAATACACATCTTCTCAAAAATAAAAATAATGTAAACAACTAAGTTTGGGGTGATGAAAGTTAGGATATTAGTATGTTTGTTGCCGTGCTTGTAGTTGTTTTCATTCTAGGGATGATCAAGAGACTTAATTTGGTTGATTATTATTAAAGGAAGATTTTTTTTTTTTTATATATTAAAGGAAGATTATTATTAAAGGAAGATAGCAACAATATATTGATTATCAATGGAATTGGGATTGAAAGCAATTTTTGTTAGATTCTAAACCATTTTTAAATTACCCTAACCATCAAGAGTTTAAATTGTACAACAAAATGAAAAGTAAGTTTAAAAACAAACAATTATGTGTCCTACTTAAAAAGATGAAGTAAAAAAAAAAAAAATAAGACAATACATACAGCATCTTGAAGATTAAATAATGTAAACAATAATTTTTTGAGTGCTGAAAGGTTTTTTTTTTTTTTTTTTTAAAGTCTATAAATCAAAAAAATTTATTTAAAAGATATAAGAAATATCCAACCCATTTACATTTAAGTCAACCCATCTAGATAAGAGTCAACACATAACTCCATCTCACAATGCGTTGCTATTAAGAGTCCCGACCATAGGTAGGATGCAAACCATATCCCCCTTGAATTTACATAACCAAACAAGAGAAGGTTTGGACATTGGTCTATTTGTTTATGTACATGTATGTTTTTTTTCTAAGAATGATCAAGAGAATGGCCGGTTGATATGTTTATCTATTATTGTAGATTTTTGTTAGATTCTCTACAAATTAAAAATCACTTTACTAGAGTTTGGATATCAGAATATTAAAATAAAAAATAGATTTAAAAGTAAATAATTAAGTGTTCTACTTAAAATGATGACAAAAGGAAAATGGGACCGCATGCAAATGCTGCATTTCGAGAATAAACATAATGTGTACAACAATTTTTTGTGTGATAAAATTTTGGATATTAATGTATAGGATTGTGAAAAATTAAGTAATTCTAATAAAAAGTAAAATAATACCCAACTTCTTGAAGATAAAACTAATGTAATTAAAACTAATGTAAGAAGCTAACTTTTGGGTGACGAAAATTAGGATATTAGTATATTTGTTTCTGTACGTGTAGTTGTTTTTCATTTCAAGGATGATCAAGAGATGATCAAGAGATTTGATTTGGTTGATTATTAAAGCAAGATAGCAACAATATAATACAACTTGTTGGGATTAGGCCCAACACCCGTTGCAGGCCACATGTAGCAGGCCCAGTTATACGCCCACAGGCCCAAGATGAGGAGACACACCCATGTGGGCAGTAACACATGGATCAATTGGATGAACACATGTCTGAGTTCATGTCAGTATATGGGGGTATAAATACCCCCAACTACCTCCATGCAAGGTATGAACTCTTTTACGCCTCTCTCTTTGCAATTACTTTTTGAGAGCATCTCTCTCTAGAACGTTGAGTATTGCTGACTTAAGCGTCGGAGTGTCTTTCCCGAGGAAACTTCCTCGAGAATTTCAGGTGTGGAAGCAGCTGAAGATATCAACAGTGTTGGATCACGAAGCTGCCCAAACATTTGGCGTCGTCTGTGGGAATCCGAACAAAAAGCATTGTGACTTAACCAGCACGAGCTGAAAATGGTGCGCACCTTCACAGGAAACCACCCCCCAAGAGAGAATGTGGACGACCAGGGTGACACTCAGGTGTTGGAAAGTGATCTCAATGACTTCCAAACGCTTCCGAGAAACCTCTTCGTTGGTGGTGCAGAACAAGAACAGTCAAACACTTTAGATGATGATGAAAGAACACCTACAGGGTATGCAACCCAACTTAAAGAACAGTTTCACATCCCGTCTGAAGCCAGACGAAGGCATTCCAAGCATAATACTACGCGACCTGTGGAGAGACTTGTAGAATCTGCTTGAACGTCCGAGCTGGAAGAAAGAACAAGAGTTCTGGAGATGGCCATGGGAAAAATTCTCTCTCGCTTGATCCCTGATGACCCCTTGATTCCCCTGCTGAATAGGGGTGAGCAACCGGCTGCAGTAGTTGCAACCTGTAACTCCCCGGCCTTAAGCAATGTAGTGGTCCCAACCAGACCAAGAGGAAGTGGGAAGTTGAACCCAGAACCTAGCTCGTCCAGGCATAATGAAGAATTACTAAAGAAGAACACCGACCTTGAGAGACAACTCAAAGATGTGCAGAAGTCTATTGATGAGCTAAGGAGTCCTAGGTCGCGCCAACAGGCTCTCGACTTGGATAGTGCCCCTCTCAACTTGTCCATCACGGCTGAACTGTATCAAGAGGGATTTAAAATTCCCCATTTGGAGACATATGATGGGTCCGGAGACCCGGATGAATATCTGCATACTTATCAAGCCATCATGAGGATCCAGAACGCCACTGACGCCATGATGTGCAAAGTCTTCCCTGCGACCTTGAAATCAATGGCCAAAAGATGGTACCACAAGTTACCTAGACATTCGATAACCTCCTATTCTGAGCTCGCTACTCTGTTTTTGAACAAGTTCGCGAGTCAAGGAGAAATTAAGCGCACCGCTACTGAGCTAATGCTAGTTTATCAAAAGGAGGGAAAGTCTTTAAGGGACTATATGCAACGGTTCAACAAGTCCACTCTGGACATTGATAACGTCCCTGATACCATCTGCTTATCTGCTTTGTTGCATGGTCTTAAACCTGGTCGGTTTCTAGACGACCTGCTAGAGAATCCACCTAAGTCGTGGAATGAAGTAAATGACAGGTCGGCAAGTTTCATACTGTCCAAAGATTTTCAATCTTCTAAGAGACGAGCTGACGACAGACAGGGTAAAGAGCTCAGGCAGCCTGAGGGAAGGGACGAAAAGAAAAAAGAAAAAACAAAAAGTTGGCGAGCGAAGAGGAAAACTACCTTCCTTTCCAAAATATGACAATTACATTCCCTTGAACTCGTCAAGGTCCCAGATATTGGCGCAGATACAACACTGGGTCAAGAGACCCCCTCCCCAAATGCACGATTCTTCACGAACTGACAAAAACAAGTGTTGTGACTACCATCGTGGATACGGCCATAACACGGAAGACTGTCAAAGCCTGAAGGATGAGCTTGAATTCTTAGCTCGCAATGGAAAATTTGAGGGGTATATACAGAAGCCTTACGTCCGACAACCCAACCAGACCCATTTCGTGCAAGAGTATGGCCGATCTTAGGCACATGGATATCAGCTAGGCAACAATCCAATTCCTTACCAGGCGAATCAATACTCGTCCGAGCCTAACAGAACATACAGAGGACGCCCGTTCCATAGGCGAGGGCAGGGACAAAAAACATCCACATAGAATCAGAAAGACCACAGAGGGGTTGGATACAGCGGGATACCCCCACCATCTAGCACAATCAATATGATCTCTGGTGGCATGCATTCGGGTGGCCAAAGCGCTCGAGGTCGTAAGGCTTATGCTCGTCAAGTAATGGCGGTAAACAAGAATAGACCTCTAAAGCGCCCCTTTGAAGAAGCAGAATGGGAAAATGCATCTATTACATTCAGCCCGGCCGATTACAAACGGTTAGAGGAAGAACCAGATGTTATGATGCCCCATGTTGATCCTTTTGTGGCAACGGTCCATATAGGCAATTATAACGTCAACAAAGTCTTTATTGATACTGGTAGTTCACCAGATATCTTGTATTGGAGCTGCTTTCAAAAGATGCAGCTGAATCCGAGCTCACTGCAGAAGTATGAAGGGCCCATATATGGATTTGATAATTAACCCGTCTCGGTTGAAGGAGTACTTACCCTTCCCATCTATGTGGGCTCGGAACTGTGCTTCAGGATGGCTTCAGTTAGCTTTCTAGTCATTAGAATGGAATCAGCTTTCAATGCCATACTAGGAAGAGCCACCCTCTGCGAGCTGAAGGCTGTCATCTCACAACTTCATCTTTGTATGAAGTTCCCAACTCCTCAGGGGGTAGGAGTGCTTAAGGGGAACCAGAAGATGGCCAAAGACTGTTATCAAGATACGTTCAAGAAGGTTGAGCTCACTGCAGCCTTGAGAGGCTCTTTTGAAATTCACAGGCCGACTCAGCTCGGTCAACAGACAATGGGCATATCAGATATTGAGCACCAACCTGAAGGTGTCGAGCAGAAGGCTGAGCCAGTAAAACCAGTGGAAGCAGTCCCTATGAACCTGACATGCCAGAAAGAACAGTTAAGGTTGGCACAAAGCTCACAGCGGGAGAACGAGCAAAGCTTATGGAGTTTTTAAGGGCTAATCAAGATGTGTTTGCGTGGACAACGAATGAAATGCCTGGCATTCCAACAAAGTTGGTAATCCACAAGCTCAGCACGGACCCCACTAGAAAGCCGGTGGTTCAGAAACGTCGCCTTTTTGGTCTTGAAAAGCAAGCTGCTATAGATAAAGAAATACAAAAGCTACTACAGGCAGGCTTCATCAGGAGAGTTGAGTACTCTGAATGAGGCGTGTCCAAAAGACTCTCACCCCTTGCCAAATGTTGAGAAGTTGGTAGAGCGAGCAGCCAGACATGAACGCATGAGTTTCCTTAATGCCAGCTCGGGTTATCACCAAGTTCAGTTGCTGTTGGATGACCAGGAGAAAACGGCTTTCTATGCTAGTGGCGCGATCTACTGCTATGTCATGATGCCATTTGGCTTGAAAAATGCTAGCGCGTCATATCAGAAGTTGGTGCACGTCGTCTTTAAACTCCAGATCGGCAGGAACATTGAAGTATATGTGGACGACATGATAGTCACCAGTAAGTGAGCTGAAGATCATATAGACGACCTGAATGAAACATTTCAGAACTTGCGTCGAGCCCAAATGAAGCTAAATCCCCTGAAATGCACGTTTGCTGTAGAATCAGGAAAATTCCTAGGGTACATGGTATCCAAGAAGGGAATTGAGGTAAATTGAGAGAAGGTTCAGGCCGTTCAACAGATGGAGCCTCCCAAGACCATAAAAGATGTGCAGCGTCTCACAGTTCATGTGGCTACGTTGCACAGGTTCATAGCCAAGTCGGTAGAAAGGTGCTTCCCATTCTTTAAAGCCTTGAGAGAGCCCAAGAACTTTCAGTGGACCGATAAATGTCAACAGGCGTTCGATGAACTCAAGCAATATCTGGCGTCAGCACCCCTACTTTTAAAGGCTGTGGAGGGGGACAGTTTATACCTGTATCTGGGGGTTACAAAGGAGGCCGTGAGCTCGGTTTTGCTCAGAGAACAGAATAAACATCAAAAGCCCATCTGCTACGTGAGCAAGGTTTTATAGGGCGTGGAGCAGAACTACCCACTAGCAAAAAAAGCTGCTTTTGCCCTTGTCTACACGGCTCGCAAGTTGAGAGCTTACTTTCAGTCACACAAAATTGTTATCTATACCGATCTACCGTTGAGGAAGATACTGCAAAAACCCGAACTCTCTGGTCGGCTTATTGGGTGGACTATTGAGTTGAGCAAGTACGACCTCAAATTTCAGCCGCACACAACCATTAAAGGGCATGCTGTGGCGGACTTCCTAGTGGAAAGCCTTTCGACGACTGTGGAAGAAAGGGCGCCCATATACCTAGTATGGGTTTTATATGTAGATGGAGCTGCTAATATTGAAGGATCGGGTGCTTGGGCAGTGCTAGTGGGCCCAGATGGCTTTAAATCTGAGCACGCATTAAGGTTCAAGTTTCAAACAACAAATAATGCTGCAGGGTATGAAACCCTTATTTATGGTTTGAAGCTAGCGTCCGAGTTGAAAGTTTAGAGCATAAGGATTTTCAGCAATTCTCAACTCGTTGTGGGTCAAGTGAATGGGAGTTGTGAAATCAAGGATCCTTAGCTTGGTCGTTATGCTTCTGTAGTCAACAAATTGAAATCAGGATTTGTCTCTTTCCAGATCGACAAGATACCTAGAGCAGATAACCAACGAGTTGATGAGCTATCAAAATTAGCTTCCTCGCAAGATATCAATCCTCAGAGATCAACAATTGTGGAGGTACTTGACGCACCGAGCTACACTGACTTCACAATCGAGTGTCGATTACTAAGCACAGATCCCTTTTTGCCGAGCTGGACTACACCCCTCGTTGAGTATTTGCAAAGTAGCGAGCTGCTTGAAGACCCATCCACCTCAAAGTTGATTAAATGTAGTGCGGAAAACTTCACCTTGATAGATAATCAACTCTACAAGCGAGCAGCCTTAATGCCCCTACTATGCTGCCTTACTCCTTATGAAGCTGAATACGCTGTAAGGGAAGTTCATGAAGGAGTATGTGGCACACATATAGGTGGTAAAACATTAGCTCGAAAACTCCTGAGACATAGGTATTACTGGCCTACTATGGTCGAGGACGCACAGAGTTATGTCAAAAAGTGCCCAACCTGCCAGTTCAATGCTGAGACATTCACATGCCAGGTATCTGAGCTCGTTCTAAAGTTTGTGCAAACCTCACGTTTGTCTATAAACTAAACATAAATATCTCCGTTGAAGTAGGAGAAATGCTATCATCACTCTCATCACCCTGGCCTTTTGCTCAATGGGGAGTCGATCTGCTCGACCCTTTTATTAAAGGCAAAGGAGGTTGCACATTCCTAGCTGTTGCGGTGGATTACTTCACCAAATGGATAGAATCCAAACCATTATCCACGACAACAGAGAAGAAAATAGAGGAATTCCTATTCAACTCAATATTATGCAGGTACTCTTTGGTGGCTTAAGCCATTTGTACATTGTATACAAACATAATTTGTGGCTCAACTCGGTCATCTGTGTGTAGGTTCGGCATACCTAAACGAATCATAGCTAACAATGGTCCACAGTTTCGAGCCGCAACACTTAGGTCGTTCTGCAATGACTATGGCATTGAGCTCGCCTTGACATCTGTATATACTCCACAGTCAAATGGGCAAGCCGAGTCTGCCAATAAAATCGTCTTACGAGGCCTCAAGACACGCGTTTTAGTTGCACGCTCTAATTGGGTTGACGAGCTCAATAAAGTGCTCTGGTCATGTCGCACTACACCTAGCTCAGCTACAGGCGAAACCCTTTTCAGCCTTGCCTATGGAGTTAAGGCCGTCATCCCTGTAGGGGTCGATTGCCATCCGATAGAGCAGATCGGCACAATGATCCTAGTAATGAGCAACTTTTAAGAGAGAACCTAGACCTTGTAGAAGAGGTTAGGGAGATGTCTCGAATAAGAAATATGGCACATCAAAGTCGTGTTGCTAGATTTTATAATAAGAGGGTCCAAGCTCGTCAATTTCAAGTTGGCGATTTGGTTTTACGCCAGGCTGGGCTCACTAACGCTTACTCACGTATGGGTAAACTTGCACTGAACTAGAAGGTCCTTATATGGTTATTTGTGTTAAGTAACCTGGGTCTTACCAGTTGGCAGATCTATAAGGTCGTCAGTTACCATTCATTTGGAACATACATAACCTCAGAAAGTTTTACAGTTAACATGTATGTTATTATCTTATTCAAGTTATTATCAGTCAACTGTAGATGACAATGCAAAGAATGTACACAACAATTAATACAGAAATTTCAAAGGAAAATTTTCAAATTTGTATTTCCATCAATGTTCTTTACATTTGAAGTACATGATGAATTGGTTCACTGACCAACACAAAAACATAAAAGAAATACAAAAGAAACAAAGAAAATCCTAAGCTAATCATCCGTCAGGTCGACGGGGATGGATGCGTTAGTGTGTGCAGCAATAGATCGAGTATGAGATGACCGATCTGGAGGAGAGAGAGCAGGAGCAGCAGCTGGGGCGGGCTGAGAGGATGGGGGAGTGCTGGAGGGCTCAACAGGTACCTCCCGGGGCTCTGCCACCTAAGTATCAAAGCTTGGCAACCCCTCGGTGTCCTCCCCCTCTTCAACAATAAAAGGGGGCCACACTGGCAACTCCTCTTCATTTAGCTCCCATTTCAGCCTCACCCAGGTGTCAGGTAGAGGGGCAAGGCTCTTCCCTTCTTCATCAATCTCCTCACCTCCAAAGAAGGCCAGCTCGTAGATCGAGAAGTCAGCCCCGTGTCGTAGCACCTTCCCACGAATCTCGTTGAAGATGTCTGTGGTGGTGTTGGCTGAGGCGACTGCGACGGCATCCTGGAACATGTCTGCTCCAACCAGCCACTCAGCCCCTTGTGCTCGAGCAAAGCAAATATCACGCTGGTGGTACCTCTTACTCTGCTCCAAGGACACCTCAACGCGGGCGACGTGCAGGTCGGCTTCCACAACCCTCTCTTTCAGGGAGTTCAGCTCGTGAAGAGCCTTCTCCCTGTCAGACTCTACCTTCTTGGCCCGGTCTTCTGCACGGTCAGCCTCCTCCTTAGCAGCTTGAATGCCGTTCTCCTTCTTTACCCAAGCTTTTTCAAGCTCCTCTCTCAGCTTGTTGACCTTGCGGGCCAACTCGTCAGCTCGGCTTTCAGCTGACGTCGCTCGGTTAGCCATCTCCTAGCTCTGCAAACGATTGACTTCATCAGCCAAACTGGCTTTCTCAAAGGCTAGTTGTTTACAGTTTTGTTGGAGCTCGCGGTTCTGCACCCGCGCTCCTTGCTCGCACTCAAAGAGTGCTACGGGGTAGCTGAACGCCTGCCATATAAATTCAATCGTTAGTTTATAACACAAAATTATAGAATACAAACGGTGTGCTCATTAAATATACTCACATCCATCAGCTTTAGTAAAGCAGCATGACCTCCATGCTGCTGGACGTGCCCCTTAGCACGTTGCCGATCTGCAGGGGGCACAAAGCTTTGCATACCCTTCACCATTACGGCCTAGCAATTAGTTTTGACGCAACTAAAGCCGTCTGGGTATGCAATCCTTGGCCCCAATATAGACACGAGGCAGGCGCTGGTTCAGCAACCTCACGTGCTTGTGCCGGGGGCACATGGCAGGCCGCGCAATAGTGGCTAAAGCGAGCTGAGATCCCATGCTTGTCCTTCGTCGGATGAGGGGAATGTCATCTTCAGCGTTAGAGTCCTCCCGCGCGCGCCTTCTTGAATGTGAGGGTGCAATTTCAACTCTTTGCTCAGTACGTTGTCTTGGTGTCGAGCTCAAACTTCTGTGGGACGAACTGCGCCCCGGTGCAGCAGGTGGCCGCTCGTCAAAGCGAGTTTGACGTTGGGAACCGAACCCAGCTCCACGATTCCTCGAGCCTTGTGCTCGTTGACGTTGCCTCTCCAGAATGCTGCTCATTTCTCTTGCACAAACAAAGGCATAAGACTCAGATCGGCTAGAAATTCTGGTATGATATAGAAATATACCTTTAGCATGTAGGTTTGTCATGTCGACAAACCCAAGTAACGCGAGCTGCTCCGGGGTAACCAAGGCTTTCAAATCCACTAAACCCCTTGCCTTGACATGATCTAGCAGCTGATTCTTCAGGTTGACATCACCAACAGTCAGCTGAGGGTAGTTCATGGAGGCATTTAGTGTACGCCACTCTGATAGACGGGCGGCGAGCTCGTTATTGATTCTTTCGATTCGCGTATCGCGAACAAAGATAAATTGTCTCTTCCACCCCGCCACCTTATTTCTGATGTTGGTGAATATCATCATCTTTTCTCTCCTCGAGATGTAGTACCACCTTGTCCCACTGGTGGAGGGGCACAGACAGCACAGGAAGAGCGACCTGAAGACCACCGCCTTCGTAGGCACCCCCAACCGCTCACACAACAACATAAAGCCTATAGTAAACTTTATGCTGTTGGGAGTTAGCTGCGTTAGGGCCACTTCGTACTCTGCTAGGACATCAAAAATTAGTTCGAGCAAAGGAAAACGTAGGCCGGCGTCAAAATGGTCTATGTATACTGGCACCCAGCCCGTCCTTGATACTGTGTAGGCCCGTTCGTTTGGTGTCCCAACTTAGATCAGGATAGTTCTGGGGATCTGGTATCGTCTCACCATCTCCTCCAATTTTTTAAACCCCTTCACTAGGGCCGCGCCGTCTGCAACTTCGTGATGCAGTGCCGCCCTGAACCTAAAGCCAGCAGGTAGGGTTTTGGGCGCCTTGCGAAGGTTATCCAATCTCCCGTTGATAACCTTGCTCTCCCACCCTTCAAACACAACCGCCTCCGCCTCCGTCCTTATCGCCGGCGCACCATAACCACCCTTTTCAACACCCCTCTCTTCACTGGGTGTCTCTTCCGCAGACAAATCGCTGGAAGAAGTCGAAGAACGGCGGTCACTTGAACCGCCACCCGTGCTCGAACTAGCGCTACTCTCCGGCGTGATGGTTCTGGGCAAATCCTACAACTCCGGCAACACTATCATGGTGATGGGCTCCACTGATATCACATCCACTTCGTCTTCCCCACTCTAGTTACCCCGAAGCTGTCTTGCATCGTGAAAAGAAGCCATTTTTACCTGAGTATCTGAAACCAGTTGTCCTTTCGATGAAAATTCTGAGGAATAGCCTAGAGCGTCTCTACAACCTCTTCTTTGAAGAAAATACTAATGTAATGGAATAGGGAATGGCTGAGTAACTGCTTTTGTTTCTTGTCCTTCAGATAGTGCTCTTGGAACGGTGTACGCATGTTTATGACCCCCCAGTTAAACGCGTCCACATGGTAGTCATTTATGGTTAAGCGCCCAAAACTCGCCGCCTGCAGCTGTCATGTCCCCTCAAATACTGAGCCAGCATTTATTGCGGGAAGGCAGAAGGATATCTGCCGTTGGCAGAAGAATACCAAGCGCCCTGAGCAAATCTCCTCAGAGATTCGCCCCAATTTAAGATTTGAAAAATCTCAAGGATCAGCTCGTAACGAATCCGAGATCTCCTCAGAGATTTGCCACAATTTAAAATTTGAAAAATGTTAGGGATCGGCTCGTAACAAATCAGAGATTCACCTCAGTTTTGAATATCAAACGATTAGATCGTTACCAATTCACTCAGATTTGCTCTGTATCCCAGAGGTCTACATTGTAATGACGATTGAGGTCGCTCATTTCAGTTCGTCTTGATATTCACACTCCATCAGTGTGGTTTTGGGTTTGTTCTCTTAATATTAGGCCGACCTCATAGGTACAATCTTCACAAGTTGGAATGGCCCAACTCGTCCACCATATGCTCGTCTTCGGTCTGCTATAGGAAATCCATTATGAGAGATCGCCTTGCACGCCCACTCAGCCCGTAGATTAGTACCTAGCTCACACTGGTTTTAACACCAGCTTCCCCATGCATGCTTGGTAGGAAGCCAGCATATACATACGCATCAGACCAGGCCGTGCTGGCCTTAGGTCGCCCAGATCGGCCATGTGTTAATGTTGTAAGGTCGGTCGTAAACCTACATGTCACTCCTCATCCCCAGGGTCAAACACTGTGTTAATGGGACTCTCAACCCAGTTCGTCAACCGAACATTGAGGGGGGAGTAATGTTGGGATTAGGCCCAACACCCGCTGTGGGGCCACATGCAGCAGGCCCAGTTATACGCCCATAGGCCCAAGATGAGGAGACACACCCACTTGGGCAGTAACACGTGGACCAATTGGATGAACACATGTCTGAGCTCATGTCAATATATGGGGGTATAAATACCCCCAACTACCTCCATGCAAGGTATGAACTCTTCTACGCCTCTCTCTCTACAATCACTCTTTGAGAGCATCTCTCTCTAGAACGTAAAGTATTGCTGACTTGAGCGTCGAAGTGTCTTCCCCAAGGAAACATCCTCGAGAATTTCAGGTGTGGAAGTAACTGAAGATATCAACAGTGTTGGATCATGAAGCTGCCCAAACACAACTACTATTAATGGAATTGAGATTGAAAGCAAATTTTTTTTGTTAGATTTTGAACTAATTTCAAATTGATCTACCTTGTACAATAAAATGAAAAGGAAGTTTTAAAAACAGATAATTATGTGTCCTACTTAAAAAGATGACAAAAGAAAAAAAAAATGAGACAATACACGCAGCATCATAGAGATAAAGTAATGCAAACAACACATTCATCACATCACACTGTGTTGCTTTTAGAGAGCCCCCACCATAAATAGGATACAGAACATATCCTCCATGAATTTACGCAACCAAGCAAGAGGAGGTTTGGGTGATGAAAATTTGGACATTGGTCTATTGTTTTTGTACTAATTTTTTTTTCCTATAAGGATGATCAAGCGAACAGGTTCATAATTCTATTTGTTATTGTAGATTTTCGTTGGACTCTCTACCAATTACAAATTGCCTTACTGGAGTTTGGATATTGAACTATTAAGATTAAAAATGGTTTTTTTTTCTTTAATAAGAAATAGAGTTATATTAAAATAATGAAATTAAGATTATATATGAATCCCTTTATTGCACCTTCTAATCAAAATAAAAGTATATCCTATAATAGTAGACACAAACAAAAACTATCTCATGATGGATATAGACAATTAAGAATAAAAAGCTACCTGCACCTAAATATTAGTAACAATTGTCGCAGGGCATAAACAGAGCTACTAAGTACTAATGTAGAAATAAAGTCGTTATGAATATCCCATATAACTACATATTCTCAACTTCTATGCCAGCTTTTTGGAGAGAGTATGTAGTTCAAAAATAACAATTCCCACCCATCGAATGTCATATCGATGAGGAGATGTATGAATCCAAAGGGTAGTTGGAGTCTCCTCCATGGATCATAGAAGTCATGCCTGAATTAATTCAAAGAGAGTTGAGTCTTTGTCAATGTCCCAATCATGCCACCAATAGTTGAAGGAAGTGTTGTAACCAATTCAAGGTAGGCTAGCCACACCATGATGTTGCTGCCCTCTTCAAGTATAATAATGAAGAGATTTAAACATCTTGATTGAATCAACACTCAAAGAAAGATCATTGAGGATATTTGAACAATGTTACATAAAATTTTAATATTTTAAAATTATTAAAACGTCTTAATTTCTATTTTTCTTTTTCCTTTATTTTATTTGAGGGAAATGAAAAACCCCTCCCCCTTGTTTCGTTTTTTTTCATCAACTCCCCCTTTGTTTAGTTAGACCAAATATAAAAGACATTAAAGTTAAGAAAATAATCAAAAGATATATATATTTTTTACAAATTTTTCATACAACCTTATATATTATTTAATAATTAATTTTTTTTATTCTATTAAAACACATAATATTATATATATCAACTTGCTCAATTAATGACATATACTAATTGTATAAAAAAATTTATACAAAAAAATTATCTCCATCCCACTACCTTAAAATAGAGTAAGGGAAAACCCATCCCCTTCAACTTTTTGTTATTCAAGTAGATAAATTATCTATTGAGATCAAATGCTTTCAAATAACACTTACAATCTAAGAGCAAACTTTTCTTTGGTTTAATAGCAACTAAAATTCCTGGACTTAAAAGGAAATTGGCAAGTATCGACCCAAAAACAATTTTAGTGGCAGCTAAAATCCCTAGCCATGAGAGAAATAGGTAAAGCATGGTCCTCCACACCTTCTGTGAGGCCAAAAAAGAAATAGTCTTTCACCTTTGTCAACTCTGTTATCATTAGGGATAACTTGACATAAACGGTGCTCCACCACCGTTCATTTTTTTTTGGTAGACCGTCATAGTCATACGTTACAAGTTGCACCATGGTTGATCTTTTGCACTGACAAGAAGGAATCAGACCCACTATCGCATTGCTATGGTTCTTTTGCCATGTAAGTTCCATAGCTTTGAGGATGTTGTAGATTTCCACAGGCATTGCATTACTTCACGTTTTGCTCTGACTCTCTACGAATACCCCTTGTTACCAAAGGGCCTTGGAATCTGAGGAACCGTCTACATTAATCATATTATATGTAGTATTTTATAGTCCAATATTACCCTATTTTCTCTAAACAGATGTACGATTTTACTTGTATTTTTCTTTGAAAGAGTTATGTATGGTTAAGACTGCAGATCAAGAACAGCTGGATGAATGACGGGTTCCTGATATAGAAGGTTGTTCCTCCATCCTTAGTTTTGCAATATGTTAAACCAAGTGTATATGTATAATTGTCCATATCTACTATATATGAATTCCTATATCATGCCTTATAGTCAAATTTAGTAGAAAGATATCCTATAACATTAGATACCAATAAAAACTATGTTCATAACAGATATATACAATTAAATATAAAAAGTAAAATACATCTAGAGATTATACTAGTAATTGTTGTAGTTACTAGTGTAGAAAAAAAATAGCTTTATCAAGATGTTAACTTTTACTTCTCTCTTTCTCCTTGTTTAGTTTGAAAAAAATAGAGGTCTCTTTTCTTATTAAGTTAGATGAAAATATAAAAGAAATCAAATAAAGAAAATAATTGCAAGATAATTTTTTGTACAATATTTTCATATAAGCATACATATTATTTAATTATTAACTCTTTTTATTCAATTATAAATTATAATATTATATTTATTTATTTGTTTAATATCAAGTAAAAATTGTATAAATTTTTTTTTATAAAAATATTGTTTTCAAATGTTACATTTAAAGTAAAGTAAGAAAAAACTCATCCCCTCTAAATTTTTTTTTATCTAAATAAGATAGAAGATATGAAAATTAGAACATAAGAAAATAACACATTAAAATAAACAAGTAATCGATATTAAAGATGAAACACATTAAAATAACACGTACAATCTAAAATTCCTGGACTTAAAAGGAAATGGGCAACTATCGTCCCAAAAACAATTTTAGCGGCAGTAAAATCCCTAGACATGAGAGAAACAGGCAAAGCATGGTCTGGTCCTTCTCGTCTCCTGAGTCAACCCTGTTATTATATACTGGAGCAAAACGGTGCAAACGGGGCTCCACCATCCGGTAAAGTCGTACGTTACCCTTCGAAAAGCACATCTTT